CGACTGGATTCGTCTGAAAGAAGAAAGTCATATACACCTAGGATGCCTCGGGGGTGAGTAAAACACAGCCTAATTTTCATTTTTGGGTGAACTAACCCTTTAAGAAAACACATGCAAATAGAAAAAAGCACCAGCAAATTAATAAAACATCTTTATTACTTTGACAGCATGTGTTGTAAATACTACTGCACTACTGTGTGTGCACTTGGATGGGTTAAAAGTAGAGCACAAATTCTGAGTATGGGTCACCGTACTTGGCCACACGTCACTTCACTTGAAAAATACTCACAACACAACCAAATACAAAAACATTCTGCAAAAACAGAAACGCGCTGCAGAAACAGAAAAGCGCTGCAAGTAGCACAAACCACAACGGAACAATTACGAAAATTAACCATGATTTTACTCCAAATAAAATAAATTAATTAATTTAAAAAACACCACAGTTTTACTACAGATATCATGGTTAAACTATGGTAAGTGAAGCAAAACCATGGTTAATTTGTGTTAGGGAAGTTGTAGAAGTTAGTCAGCTTACATAACATTTCACAGTTACAGTAATTGTTTATTTCTTATTTAGGCTAATAATATTCAAAAAAGCTAAGGAATCATACGATCAGGGTGTTAAATAAAAAAAAATCTCGCCTTTCAGAGTAGACATTGATAAGCATGTCCGTTTGTCACTTGTTGCGGTTCCCTTAAACATTTGGCTATGTGGTCTGTGAGTATTGACTGCGCGTTCCTGTATTTTGTCGCATTGTGAGTATTTGCAGCACGTGTGTTGTCAAACTGATGGAGATGTTTTCTTAATTTGCAGGTGTTTATTTCTATTTGCATGTGTTTTTTCATTTGCAGCACGTTGACCTTTTCAACCAAAAAGTTTAACTCTTAATTTGGATGATGTGCTGCGAAAGATGCAGTGGTCAAAAACATCTGTCTACGCAGGGAAAAACGATGCTCCGGTCTCCAGGGTTGGGGAAGCTGCTTTGAAACTGTAATTTGTTAAGGTAGTTGAACAGTAGTCAAGATACTCTTTTGCAAAAGTCAAGAAACTCTTTTGAAAAGTAGCTAAATTTAAGCTACTTGAGAGTGCAGCTAAGTAACTATCTGGTAATGTCATTTTTAATTTAATCAGAGCTGTTTTCTTCTGGGTTTTTCAAAGAGAGTTTTCGAAAGAATCTAGTAAAGAAAGAATCTAGAATTTAGGGTGACTACATTCAACGTGAATAGGTTACATTTATACTAAATTCAACATTAAAAGTAGTGTGTATTATAAATAGTGTTTATATGAACTTTACAAATTAACTGATTCACTAGAATGGATCAGACTTTCCACACTGGCATATAAGAGAAAATTCAAGAGAATCCAATATTTCAGTGAATGAGTTTAGTAGAATGAATCAGACTTACCACTTGTGTATTAGAGAGAATGTTTATGAAACGATTAACTCAAATGAATCGTATTTTCCAATATTCCATGTGAGCAGAATGTTTGATGAATCACTTTACTATAATGAATCAGACTTCTCTTGCGTATTTGAGAAATGTTTATGAAGTGGTTTGCTCAAATGAATCAAATTTTCTAGTTCGACATGTGAGAGAGAATTGTTTGAGATGTGTCATTTTAATAGAATGAATCAGACTTTTCACTTTTGAATTTGAGAATGTTTTTAAAAGCAATTCTCTCAAATAAATCAAATTCTCAATTTTTACATATAAGAGAAGAATGTTTGGGAAGGATCCCTTTATTAGAATTAATCAGACTTGCCACTTGTGTATTAGAGAGAATTTTTATAAAACGATTCACTCAAATAAATCTAATTTTCCAATACTACTTAGGAGAGCAGAATGTTTGATCAGTCACTTTACTAGAATGAATCAGACTTTACACTCTTGCGTATTTGAGAGAATATTTGTGAAGCAATTTGCTCAAACGAATCAAATTTTCCAGTGCTACAGTACATGTGAAAGAAAATTGTTTGAGATGTGTCTATTTGATAGAATGAATCAGACTTTTCACTTTTGTAAATGAGAGAAAATGTTTATGGAGGCAATTCACTCGAATCAAATTCTCAACTTTTACATCTAAGAGGAATGTTTGGGAAGAATCACTTTATTAGAATGAATCAGATTGAATTCCACTGTTGCATATGAGAGAGCATTTATGAATCGATTCACTCAAATGAATCAAATTTTCCAATGCTACATGTGAGAGAGGAATATTTGAGATGAATCAGTTTGCTAGAATAAATGAGACTTTCCAACATCACATATAAGAGAAATGTTTTGGTAGAATAGTTTTCATACCAAGACATTGCCTAGACACAAATATCCAGACATTTTCTTTTGTGCTCTTTATCTTTCTTTGAAAAATTGTGATGGAAATCTCTTGGAAGCTAAGTGACCATGCAACAGGAAATGCTTGTTCAGGCTCACTGCTCTGCAATCTCCGGCTCTCTGCTTGGCCAGGAAAAATAGTGAAATTTGTAACTTTCTGGCTCGCGAGAGCTGAGCTATTACCAAGGTTCTTTTCGAATCTATTACTGAGAAGCTATTACCAAGGTCTTATCTCCCAGTGACATGTTGCTGTTGACTCTGACTTAATTTGTATTATTGGACTGAGTCATCAGTCGCCTCAAATTTCCAGGGACAGTTCTGTTGCTGGAGTTTGATTAATGAACAGTCTAAACTCTATCTGTACCTTTCTCCTCCAGGCACAGATGGCCATTGAGGTAACCCAATTAATCGAGACATGCCATCCTATACAAAATCTACAGTTTGACAGCACCGAAGCTCTGAAAAAGTACGACAATAGCAGTAACGAAGAACTTGTCAGACTTAAGGTTCATTGTCAATGGCATTGTCACAGCTCCTCCTACGAGACATCGGCCTAATGAGTATTAGCTCCAAGGGGATTGTTCCCTAATTTTATTTCATACCGCATTTTGCCGTGTTAATGGATTTGACGTGCAGTTGGCAGGACTGTAGGAGGAGCTGTGGAAGTGGACAGCTCACGTTCAGCACAGTTGATGTTTTCAACATCTTCTCAAAGTACAGAACAATATTTTTGGTGAAATTTGAAGTATGTTATTTCACATTCAGTACTTTTCCTGAATATGCAAACTTGATATATTATGATTAATGCACTCGCAATGTACAGTAGTTTAACTACTGTATAATTGTGTCTGATATTTGTATTTGTATGTTTTTTAATTATTTTATGTATTTATTTATTTTTACTTTAATGTTCAAATTGCTCTCAAATTGATCTGTATCTGTTGATCTGTGTTTATGAAATAAAGCTGAAATAAAATGCTACATAAAATATAAAAAAGTAAACAAGCACATAACAAAATAAAATTATAAAAATCTAAAAATAAAATCTAATTCAAAATATAAATAAATGCTATAATACTATATAAATATTACTAAAATAACACTGCTTGACTGTGGATGGTAACTGTTTTACCTCTGGAGTGTTCATTTCATTGTTTTTCTTTTTCACGTTTGTCCTTTTTTAATTCATCTGTGTATTGAAAATCAAAATAAACATAAGTGTTACATAAAAGGGGAACATAAAAGTGTTTCAACTGTTAATTAATTAGTGTACATTTTTCAGTTTGAAGCTTTTTTTAACATTGTAAGACCTTGATGAAGTAAATGACTCATTGTCATCCTCTTCAACACATTCTCAGTGTTTTTAACTGAGCTGACACTCAGTAATGTGTTTCATTAAGTGTCTGTATCAACTGTGTTATAAAAGCTGTTGCCACTCAGAAAAAAAGTGCACAAAATTGGTCAAATTGTTCTTCTATTTAAAGCAGCACAGCGGATGGGAACATAGAGGTCTTGAGATACATTTTTAAAACTATGAACGTAAAATCAGAGCGAAAAGTATTGAAATGATCAGAGATATTAGGCACTTTTTTCTGGCACGTTTTTCATTTACCACACATGTATTTAAATGTGTAATTCTGCTTTTTTTCAGATGTATGCCAAACCAATGTGAACATGGAGGCCGATGCAGCCAGACCTGGGATGGTTTCACATGCACCTGTGATGGGACGGGATACACCGGAGCCACCTGTCACACATGTAAGAATGTGTGTTTGGGTGTATTTTATTTTATTAATTTATTTTATTTTATTTTGTATTTTATTTTATTCTTAATGGTTGTGTGTGCATAAATGCATGTGGCTTATTGCTGGTTATTTATTCTGATTAAATGTCATGCTTTCCTAGAAATTAAGGATTTTTTTTTCTGTCAACATAAACTTGTGACATAAATGCATTGCCACAGAAATGGTGGAGAACAAAGAAAAGCTTTGTTTTATGTGTAATGAGGGGGAATGTGGAAAAACGAGAATGGGAAACTGTGAAAAAACGCAATTCTGTTTAACTAATATGTAGAAGACCTTTCTGAGAAATGTCAGGGTTCTCCGTAACAGTATTTGCTTTCCCTGTATTTGCTTTTATCCATGAATAAGGTGTTAATGACGTAGACAGATTCTTGTTTCGACTGTTTTCGGAGCAGCTTAAACACGAAATTCTAAAATGTTCTGTTTGTTACCAGGTTTAAATGATACTTTGACATAACTGAAATGGAAGCTTGGGAAATTTTAATCAGCATTGATTTCAGCTGTTTGATGCATTTTAATTTCTCTGAAATGTTTTTACTGATACTTTTCCATTTTGAATGAAACTGCAATTCTCTCCAATTCTCTCCCCACAACCATCATATTTGATTACATTTTCATTGCAACAGTTCATTACAATGCATTCTGGAATTTCCTTCTCTGAATGATGTGATACTGCTCTTAAATTTGGCCAAAACAAGATATTCTATAAAGCAGAAAATTGAAGTTTACTACCTTTCGAAATGACCTTCACATCTGGAGTGGCACCTACAACTCCTTCAGACACTTGCTAGGTTTTGAAACAGAGCTATTGATTGATATGAAAACGTCTGTTGTATTCTCTATGAAGACTGTTCTCAGAGAAATAGTTCAGAATCACTATTGAGTGAAACTTTCTAAGACCCCAGGTGTTAGATGGAGAGGAGAAGAGACTGGAAGTTACACGGCGGCAGCAGTTACACATAAGTCAATAGAAAAGATGTTGAACTCTGTTGAGTTACTTCCCTCAAACCTCTCCACAGACAAAAACAAGGTTGTACTGGTCAATAGTCAAGCTAGAAAAAATATTGTGTATATGCTATTGACCAGTGCGACCTTGTTTTCGTATTTGGACAGGCACAATATATATATATATATATATATATATATATTTACTGTACTCCATATATTGCGCTAGCAAAGATGCTGCTTCTGTTATTCGACATTTATTAACTAAATACTTTCTATTTAACTTAACATCTTTTATTTCTTACCTACAGCTGTCTATGAGCAGTCCTGTGAAGCTTACAAGCATTTGGGAAGATCATCTGATTCCTACTGGATTGACCCAGATGGAAGCGGACCGTTAGGTCCTTTTAAAGTCATCTGCAACATGACAGGTAAAATGTGCATTTTTTATTTATTTGTGGCGTACCATAGCACTGAATCCAAAAAGCCCACCGATTGTGCCTGATTAATAAATCAAGCCTTTTACTGAGTATTACATGCTTTCGAGAACCCATGTATCCCAGGGTTTTTAAAATCCCTCCTATCGCCTCCAGAGACTATCTTTCATTTCAGCTTCTCAGCCCATTTGTTTTCAAGCCTCATGAGCATTCTTTTATCAGTCTAGGTCCACATCATCCCACTAATCCGAAAATAAATAAATAAAATTAAATGGAAGTCTTACATGTAGGGACATTCAAGTATGTAGGAACATCAGGACATAAAATGTTATAATTTCAGGGCAGGAACTGTAGGCATCTCAGAGCATAGTAAATCCCTGAGAGGACACGGTAGAGAGCAAAAATCATCCAGAAAAGAAAGTGTCTGTCAATTTCAGAAATTTGTAATGTTCATTTAACATTTTTTTAGGGTAAATCTTGTGATTCTTTGACGTGGGAAGGAAAGATTATGGCTACAGGATCCGGTGGATTTGAATAATATAAACAAAACAAAAAAAAATGTTTTTTAGAATGTCAGTATTTATTAGATCCCATTAAATAAAACTTGAATAAGTGGAAGGAAATATTGCCATAATGGATCCAGAATGTGTTAAATCAGTTTGTAATTACCTATTTACTTGTTACTTTAATGAGAAAATCTCTTCTTGATTTCATATGTCAATTAAAAAGCTAAGAACTTTTTCAAACTTTTCTTATTAAAAAAAAAATGCTTTACTGTAGTATGTATTTTGCCCTTTTAGTTGGGTAAAATTCTGGGGTGATTATTCATTATGCATAATATTATATAATCAATTATATAATAATTAAATATTAGGTAACTCTACTGTTCAGATGTTAGGGGTCAGTCATTTTTAAAAAGACATTAATACTTTTATTCAGCAAGGATGCATTAAAATTTATCAAAAAAGTAAAATTCCTGAGAAAACATTGATAATAATAAGAAATGTTTCTTAAGCACCAAATCAGCATATTAGAATAATTTATGAAGGATCATGTGACACTGAAGTAATGATGCTGAAAATTCAGCTTTGCATCACAGGAATAAATTACATTTTAACATATATTGTTATTTTAAATTGTTCTTTTCAAATATATATTTTTGAACAGTAGTGTAATTTATTTTTATATCTCTGTAAACATGAAGAGCATATGCTTATGTTACAGTATTAACATACGTATATTTTAATGAATCTGTCAACTTTTCTTGCAATGCCAGTCAGTTTACCTTTTTATGACCATTATTGTATCTGTTTCAGAGGACAAGGTTTGGACGACTGTGGTGAATAACCTGCCGGTGCAGACAGCAGTGACTGGCTCCAGCCGGGAGAGACGGACAGTACTGCAGCTGAACTACAGTGCCTCTATGGAGCAGGTCACAGCTATAACCAACAGCGCTGAACACTGCGAGCAGCACGTAGCCTACACCTGCCGAATGTCACGCCTACTCAACACACCAGGTACAGAGAGATCGTCTGAGTATGTGTGTGTGTGTGTGTGTGTGTGTGTGTGCGGGCTTGTGTTGCAGAGTATAGATGCTTATAAGGACTTGTGGGGTGATAGAAGGTTATCTAAAACCTTGAATAAAATTTTTTTATTTTATCCAACTGTACTGATACTTCTTACCGGAACAAATGAGGGTCAAGTGTCTTGATAACCAGGTAAACTGATGGTAGAATAGGATTGCGACCTAATAGTCCCTCCGTGGCTGATGCGCTCCCACTCTCCAATGCTCTCGGTTTGAACCCGCTTATTTTTAGCGGTTTGCCCAGTTGCTCGACTGCAATACCACCCCAGAACATGGTTTATGATGTAATGGCTTGATTTCAGGATAATTATTGTTACATTTGTTAACTTTCTGTGTGTATGTGTGGGCTAACAGCTGGACTTCATAACTAATTAGTGCTAAATAAAATCATAACAATGCAAAAGGGTTCTATAGAAAGGAAATAGTTGAATCACAGTTCTGAACACATTTATGCACAATTTTCCTGGTTAACGGGGTGGGCGGTTTAAGATTATCTCGCTAATAGTTCCATGTGCGCTCTTCTAATTAGCGGTTTAAGAGATTTAAATTGACAAGCTGTTTATGGAGTCTGCAGAAGAAATGGTTAAAGGTTAAAATGTAGGAAGTAAAGTAAATGTATTGGAAATAGAAGGGTTTTTCAAATCTGTTCTCAAGTAAAGATCTCTGAATTGGTTAATTACGTATCTGAAAAATATATGTTAAGCATATTTATCTAGCATATATGGTAATGGAGTATATAATAGGAAACATGTACGCTTGTTAAAAAGTTTGGGGTCAGTATACAATTATTATTATTGTTATAATTATTATTATTAAATCAATACTTTTCTGCAGCAACAACACATTCAGTCGACCAAAAGTGCTGTTAAAGACATTTATAATGTCTCAAAAAACTCACTTAAAAAGTTTAGTATAATTTTGCCAGAAAAAGTTTTAGAATTTTTATCATATGTTAATGTAAAAAATCGTGTGTAATATGTGTTTTGTTTGTTTGCTGACTTTTATTGTATTTGTTATATTTGTATTTTTTGAATAGTTTTTGCCATGAAAATAGCCTAAGATGCTGCCCTGGCATTAAATAAAAATATACTACTACTAATGTCTCAAAAAACAATTTTTAACATCGATAATAAGACGTTTAAGTGCCAAATCAGCATATTAGAATGATTTCTTAAGGATCATGTGACACTAAGTAATGGCTGCTGAAAATTCAGCTTTTTCATCACAGGAATAAATTAGGTTTTAAAATATATAATTAAATATATAACAGCTATTTTAAAAATGTAATGATATTTCACAATTTTTACTATATTTGTGATTAAATAAATGCAGCCTGGGTAAGCATAAGAGACTTTCAGAAATATAAAAAAAAATCTTACCAACCTCAAACCTTTGAACAGTATTATTTATAATGTCATAATGCTGACCGAAGGATTTTCCTACTCTTTCTCTCTCACACTGCACTTCAAGCCTCTTCGTCTTCATCCCTGCAGCTCGCGATCATTTGCCTTCTCTCTCATTCATTTGCTCTTATATGCTCTGCCAGTCTTTGCCACTATCCTCTGGCACTCCTGCGACCCATTTTCTGATTACAGTCAGCAATAACAATTTGCAGTGTGGCTGTGGTGCTGGGCGCTGATGCTAATCTATTAATGAGCATGCAGCACAGTGAAGGCTGCTGTGCATGTTCTTACTGCTAATCTGACTTTGGATAAAGCCTCTGCTCTTATTGTGGACTCGTCCTCTGGGCTTCTCTCCCACTACATGTTTGACTCTATGCCATCTATTGGCGCTTTTCCACTGTGTGGTACGACTCGGCTCGGTACGGCTCAGTACGGCACGGTTCGGCTCGGCACGGTTTGCGTTTCCACTGCAGTTCAGTACCGCTTTAGAGTGGGCGGGATTATTCACATGTCGTTATAGTTGCGCCGCCTCTACTACCACGATTCCTAAAAAAAACTTTTTCATTCCGCGTCGCCCCATCAAGCTCTCGCTGGATCCGCTCCTCTGCTATCAACGAGAGGAACGTCTGTACTTCC